GGGGGGGGGGGGGGTTGGGTTGGGAGGGGGGGCGGGGGCTGACGACGGGCGCTACTAAAAAGCCTGGTTGTTATTGCATGGTTGGTCAACCAGCTCGTACTTCTCCTTGCACCTATGTAATAAAGGTTCGTCGTCTCCTAGAAGGTCCGAGTGCTTTGTCGTCGTGTGTGTGCACCTGTCGTCGAGATCGTTGAGGTGGGCCTCGCGGTTCCGCATTCCCCGCTCTTCAAGCAACTCATGCTCCTCGGCCGTGAAGGGGGAAACCGGGGCACTGCATAGTTTGCTTTCCGCCAGTTGCTCCTTGCTCATGCTTTTGTTCCCGTATGCCTGCGCAGCGCCAACGGGCTAGTGTCATGGTCTGATGTGGCACATGGAGGGGGAAGGGGGAGGGGGTGTGGCACCAGGCAGCATTGCAGCATTCCGGTCGGTTCCGCCCCTCCCTCCCCTGGAAAAAAGTCCACTGCCCCTTGACCTCCCCTTTCGATTCCTTTCTGATTGTTTGCATCGGCGCCGAGGATGATGAGATGCTTCTCCTCCTTGAGGATCTTGGGTAGGGTCAAGTACTTGGGTAGGGTCCCGTGCTCCCCCACGACGTCCTGCGGCGCAGCCAGGGCCCGGAGGTGGCTCACTACTCCTCCCACCCGTCTCTGTGCTCTACGTGCTTCCCCCGTCTCCCTCTCCCTCTCCCTCCCCCCCCCCCTCTCCTCTCTCTCTCTCTCTCTCTCTCTCTCTCTCTCTCTCTCTCTCTCTCTCCCTCCCTCTCTCTCTCTCTCTCTCCCCCCCTCCCACCTCGACGATCAGCAGCCCGACGGCACCGCCGCCCGCCTGGATGCCCGTCGGCCCGTGGAAGTGCGGGTGGTACCAATGGGTTCCCGGCATGTGGTCCTCCGGGATCACGTACGTGTACGTGTGGTTGTCGCCCGGTGCGACGCGGCGAAAGACGTTGTCCGCCGGGTCCTCACCGCTGATGTGCAAGCCGTGCGTGTGCAGGTTGGTCGCTTGGTAGTCGTGCTGGTAGTTTGTGAGCCCCGCCATTTGCGCGTCCGGGTCGTCCACATCCGTCAGGTTGTTGATGAGCGTGACCTGCGCACACGGGCGACTCCGGATGTTGATAGTACAGCGGGCAGGCAAGTGAAAGTGTGTGTGTGTGTGTGTGTGTGGGGGGGGGGGGGGGGGGCACCACCTTGAGGGTGTCGCCGGGCTTGACTTTGATGGTCGGCCCCATCGGCGTGTTCTTGTTGTAGCCGCGGGTGGTCACGTTGATCGCCTTCGAGTTGAGAGTGTGGTGGGGCGTTTCCTTGAGCGGGACATGCATTTCGACCCTGCCCATCGTGAGCTGGCAGGTGACGTCCGTGCAGTTGTCCTCCCTCTCGCGGGAGCCGCAGTAGCGGCAAAAGGACTGAATGGAGCCTGTTGGGGGTGCCGGTTCGAGGATGGACCCGAACATGGTGCTTCGCGCGGTGGTGGCCTCCGTCGGGAGTGCGATCGCGCCCAGCCCGAGCATCACAAAGACGCCGAACATGGCCAAGAACGTCGTTGGAAGATGTAGGCTTTGAGCTCTCGGGCGGCCTGCGTGGCAGGGTGGAGGGTGGCGCCGTGAGCGGCCTCTCCGTCGTATCCGCAGGGCGGTGATACGTTGAGCATGGCAAGACACGTGATAGGGCGGGGTCTGAGGGGGGGAAGGGGAGGGGGACAAAGTCTGAACGCAAAAGTTGAGTACAGAACAGCTGCGGCGGCTGGCGAGGGCGGCGGCGAGGCGGCGGCGAGGGCGGCGGCGGTGCAAATGGCGACAGCGGGCACGGTTGGTGTAGGGTCGCGCGATAGCGAGGGCGGCGGCGGCGAGGGCAACGGCGGTGAGAGGCAGCGCGGCGGCGGTGAGAGGCAGCACGGCGGCGGCGGCGAGGCTGGCGGAGGGCTGGTGATAGTGAGGGCGGCAGTGGCGGCGGCGGCGGCGGCGGCAAGGGCCGGCGGAGGCGGGGGGCGAGAGCGGCGAACGAGCGGGACAAGGGTCGGATGGGCAGCAGCGACGCGTCTCGCAGCTCCTTGATGGCAACGGCGCACCTGCGAGCGGGAGGGTGCAGCCAGCTCGGGAGGCACAGCTGCTTGGGCGTCGAGCGAGGGAGCGTCGTATGGCGGGAGCGGTGGGGGCGCTGCGGGTTCCGCGAGTAGCAGGCGTCGCGGGGATCAAGGCGTGCAGCTTGCGGCGGCCATCGGACGTGCGAAGCGGCGGGGCCAGCCCGAGGGACTCTCAAGACCTCAAGAGCAAATGTTGGGAAGCCTCGAGCAAACACTGGGAAGCAAGACTGGGAGCTGATTGGACTCACGAAAAGCCGCCGCGATTTCTCTTTTTTGAGAGTTTAGTGAAGGAAAGGCCGTCTCCCAGGTTCGCCCTCCGGGGCATCGGCTTGAAGCTAACTGTAGAAACATGCGACAGAGGGCGGCGGTTTGCCACATCACACAAGCACAAACAACAACAACCAATCTCAAGAAGAAGAATCACTCTGTGTGACACATTTCTTGTTGGCTTCTAAAAATCTCTCCCAATCTCTCTCAAGCACAAGGCTCCGGCATCGCACGAGAGAGCCAGAAGAGTGCGTGCCATGGCTCATCGGTCCGGCGCTATCGGGGGCAGCGGCAGGGCGGACGAGAGTCGCGGGGGCGGGACGCGGCGTCGCGTCGGTCTGGTACCACTAGAGCCTGGTCGGGTAGTTGCCGCGTCGCCCCTCGTTCGCCAACGCCATGCGGGCCTGGGCAGCGTCGTGCTGCGCACTCGACTTCTCGCGGGCGGCAAGCAGCGCCTAATTGAGTGGTGAATTAAGTAATCGATGACTCAATCTGCCGACTTCTCGCGGGCGGCCAGCAGCGCCTCCGACTCGCTGCTCCCGTCGTCGTCCCTCGGCGCCTCGGCGTCGCCTCTCCCGCGCGCGATCTCGTCCTCGCTCCGCCGCATCGGGGCGGGGCGGTACGCGGCGGCGCAGAGGAGGCAGCCACCCAGGCAAGCGATGCCTGCCACACACGGGGGGGGGGGGGGGGGCGCTTTTGCTCCGCCTTTGCTGCTGCAAAGCCGGCCTTGGGCGCCTTCCGGGGGGGGGGGGGGGGCTTAAAGGGGGAAGGGGGAAGGGGGAAGGGGTAAAATTGTAAAAGGGAAAAAAGGGAAAAGATTCCTCCCCGCGCCCCCGG